AGAATCACCTAAGATTCCGTGACACGGGTTTGAATCAAGAATAAATACAATTTAAGCCAGTAGTCAAATAGGAAGTGGATAGCGCTGTGATCGAATAATTTATAAAGACAAATTTAAGAAAAATGAGTAATGAATAGACGAAATCAGATTACTGAGCCACCTTACGTCAGATATTCCTCATATAAAGACCAGATATATATCTGAGACTATAGTTCAAATGAAAAAAATGAACCAAATTTGGATAGAACATTGAAATTCTAATTATCCTCAGACCCATAAGATAGAGGCGCTCGAAAAGTTCATTTTACAAAGTTCTAGTGTACTGGCAGTACCAACTAGCAATCGTCACTGTATACGGATCAATTACATAAAATAGTGACGCTGACGAACTAATAAAAATAGGATTAATAAATATCCTAAGATAAGATTAGAATCCATTTTCTAATATAAATCGATGGAATCATGGTCAGTAGGATGGAAGGCATAATATTATTATTAAGTGTTGAAATAAAAGAAATGTATTGGTTGGTTTACCTCTTGTAAAATATAAATAGAAAAAGTCCAGATAGAGGAAAGTTTGTACACAGCCGGAGACTATGGCAATTAAGTCATAGAAATCTTCCGTATAATACCGATATATCCAGTTGACTAAATACATAGCTCTGTAGAAGCCAAGGGCAAAGAGATAATGCGATGTAATTGTCTCTGCCTCGCCCGTTTTACTTATCATGTACAACTGAGGTAATATAGCAACAGCTTCCAAATATATAGAGAATGTCCAGAAAATCTAAGTGAAATATAAAAAAGAGATTTCCAAAAAGATGATTGATTTTTAAAATAATTCAAATCAGCAGCCCATTGAATATAATTAAGCTGTAGCAAGTCTGGACATATTAGGGGATAAAATATCTGATAACCAGGGAAAAAATGTATTCTAAATTTTTGATAAATATTATTAAAATTCAAAAAAACCGCCCGCCCATGTGAGAGGCCATAGTCACGAGGAATATGCAGGTTGGGGAAAAGTTTCAAGA